ATTAAAAAGCAGTGAGTTTTGGGGAGGCCAGAAGCAGAAAAGTAATTCTTGTATGCATAATAGCTGCAAAAAGCAAAGTAAATATGTAAGTACCCTGTTAACTTGCTCAAGAAAGGGGATCATTACAGTGTCTAGGCATCAAGAGATCCAAGATGGAAATATATTCGCTATCCCTAATTTAAGATAGATAAATGCTCTTGCTATACCTATTAACTTCGTATGGTATTTTTATTGCTTTATTATAAAGAATGGAAGAAAGTTTTTGTGAATGTTTTGAGTTTCTCTCAACCCATTATTTCCCTTAAAACTCTATGTTTTTCTCTTGTGAATTCTTCCACACCATGTTTAGGATCATGATTTTTGCAACTGGGAAGAGACTATTTTACTGACCTTGAGGTAAGAGTGGCGTCCCAGAAGTATTTTTGAGGACATTTGGTAATCAGACAAAACTTTAGTATGTGTTCACCTAAATTGTTACAGTATTGGTTCTCTAAACCATTCTGCTTATTTCTCTCCAGATTCAGCTCTGGGCTTGGTTCTTGCAGCAAAGGCAGGGGCAATTTCAGTTATGTTATTAGTGCACGTTCCCCACTCTTAAGTTTTTCACAATCCTGAGAACTCTTCTAAGTAGCTTCTGTTCTAAGAACATTGGTTTCATTCTGACAGAGAGAATTACTTCTAAATTCTAACCCCACAGGGGTTACAAAGTTGAAGGATAGTCATCTCCCCTTGGGAGTACAAAACATGTTTTTTCCTGATTAAAATTTTGTAATGACAAAATAGAATGAAAAATAATCAGTCAAAACTGTTTAATAATTACTGCTCACCTATGTCAAAAATAAGGTGAGTGGATACCCACCATTTGGGCCAGAATATCTGTTAGAAAATAAACGGATAGGATGTAAAATGATGGGAATAATGGCAGATAAGTCTGTTGTGATAGCTGGGGTTAACATTTTAGAGCAGCTTGCATATAGGGGAACTGCAAGCGGGACTGCTATGATCAAAGCGGTGCTTCAGAGGATCAGTGTGCAGCAGATGCAGATTGCAGGAATGCCTGCTCAGGACTTGGCCCCAGCCCTCACGTGTTAACAGGCTTCCTCGTCATTTGTTGTGGGAGTGGCAGAAAGGCCAGTGGAGAGGCTATTTTCATCCCCTGGTGCTGGGTTGGGGGTGGGGGGAGGCGGGAATGGGGAAATAGGAAGCTGAGAGTAAGCGGTGACACTGGGAATAAAAAGAGAGGGACAGATTCCTGAGAAGTTGTGGAGAAGAAACGGAGAAGGTCTGACAACCTGACTGAATTTAAGCAGGAAGAAGGAAAAGGCCATAGTGGTCATGTCAGGAGAAAGCAGGGTTCTAGCCTGATGAAAATATTCCACAGGCAGTCTGGTGGAAGTGTTAGGTGCTACCCTGAGTATGTGAATTTGGGGACTCATCTTTGTGTAAATGGTAGTTGAAACCGTGGAATAAAAAGCGGAAGAGAAGAGGGCTGAGTGTACCTTCTGGAGCAAGGCTGCAGTAAGGAGTTGGGGAGGCAGAGTAACCAGCAGTTGGGAAGGTGGGAAGAGAAATGAGGGAAGGAGAGAATTTTGGAATCCAGGGGAGTGATTATCTGTCAAACTCTAATAGAAAAGCCAAGGAGGATGAATACCCAGCAAAAGAGTTAGTGTGTAGGTTGAGAATTCTTAGAGCTAATGGGATTGGGTTTATGTAGGGAAACTGGAGAGGGGGCCTTAATACCTTAACGGATCCTTATTGCTCTCTTAATTGGCTTAATTTCAGGTAGTAGTATGGCATTATGTTTAGAAGATTAATTTACTATTTATCATTTTATAATTACATTTTTAAAGTGGGGAGGAGAGAAAGCATTATGGTTAGAGGTGATTTTATTTATTTATTTGTTTATTTATTTAAGATTTTTATTTATTTATTTGATAGGGACACAGTGAGAGAGGTAACACAAGCAGGGGGAGTGGGAGAGGGAGAAGCAGGCTTCCCGTGGAGCAGGGAGCCTGACGCAGGGCTTGATCCCACCACCCTGGGATCATGACCTGAGCCAAAGGCAGACGCTTGACAACTGAACCACCCAGGTGCCCCTATTTTTTATTTTTTAAAGATTTTATTTATTTGCGAGAGAGAACGGGGGGGGGAGGGGCAGAGGGAGAGGGAGAAGCAGACTCCCTGGTGAACAGGGAGCCGCACGAAGGGCTTGATCCCAGGACCCCAAGATCATGACCCGAACCGAAGGCAGACCTTTAACCGACTGAGCCACCCAGGTGCCCTGCCAGAGGTGATTTTAATGGGGAGAGAGCAGTTGACAACTTATTCAGAGCATGTATAGTTTCCGTTTTTCATAGTTGAAAAATTTTTTGTTCCTTTTAATTTGAAGCAGTTTGAATAAATAACACAAAACATGTCCTTCCTTGAAAATGAATAGAATATGTCTCAGAGATGACATGTTGAAAATCCATTTATTACATTAATGTTATTTGAGTTTTTCATGGATATTTAAGAACTATTTATATGTAAGTTTAACATCTGAAAATAAGATACGTATAAATAAATAAATATTGCAAACAAGTAAAATCAGAGTAAAAGGATAAAAGTGCTGTAGAAATTCAGAGGAAGGAGAGATTATTTTCAGCTTTTTCTTTTTTGGTGGGGAAGGAGACTTGAGGAAAAGGTCTAAGCAGAGTTGATAAGGGAAAGGTGTTCCAGGTAGAAGAAACCCTGAGCTCAGTGTAGAGCTGGGGTCTTATTAGGGACATGGGACATTTTTGTTTGGCTGAAGTGTGTGCATGCAGTGGTGGGGGGAGGTGCTTGAAGGGAAGGTAGGGGAGAGAATGATGGAAAGATAATTTGGGGCCAGAATTTAGATGGCAGGAGTGTGAACTTTATTTGGAAGCAGCAGGGAGCCGTTAAACATTTTTCAATGAAAAATGACACCATCTAGCTGATGCTTTAGAAAAATGACTCTTGGGGCCCCTGGCTGGCTCAGTCGGAGCATGGGACTTTTAATCTGGGGGTTGTGAGTTTGAGCCCCATGTTGGGTGTAGAGATTCCTAAAATAATAAACTTTAAAAAAAATTGCACTTTCTGTTATTTGAAATTTTAGTAAGAAGCATTCAGTACTTATATCATCAGCAAAAAATGATAAATGTAAAAGAAAAATGCATCTGAATAGTACCATTTAGGCTGGATTAGAAAGTGAGAAAGTAGATAAGGAAACCAATGAGGGAGGCGGTTTATGCCGTATTTACAACATGAGTAAACCACAATCCCTGATTAGTGATTAGTATTAAATAGTGTATTATTTAATTGGTTAAGTTTTTGGTCTGTTTTTTAAAGATTTACTCATTTTAGAGAGAGAGCGAGAGCGCATGTACGTGAGCAGGGGGAGGGGCAGAGGGAGAGAGAATCCTCAAGCTAACTCCCCACTGAGTGCACAGGAGCCCGATGCAGGGCTTGATCCCACAACCCCAAGATCGTGACCTGAGTAGAAACCAGAGAGTCAGCTCCTCAACCGACTGAGCCACCTAGGCGCCCCAGGTTTTTTTGGTTTTTGTAAGTTTGGGCTTAAGTAGAAAAGGGAGCATTAAGGTCATTGGGTTGTCTTGTAAAAACCTAAGGCAGATAAGGTTCTATAGCTGGACTTCAGAAAGGTCTAGAACCTGTTGGTAAACCTCCCCTCCCTGCTCCCTCTACTTTATTTCTCCGGGCATTCTCTGGATTCTTTCTATTTTTTATTTGTAAACCTCATCTCACTAGTCTAACCTGAAGTTGGAAAATGTCCTTCCTCATCTCCCGTGTTAAAGCCAGTGGTGGTAGTGGTGGGGAGAAGACTGACCCTTGTTCATGGTTTCAGATTCTCAGGGATAGGACTTTGATTTTGTTATGGTCACAGATGAACTTGTTTTTACTTTTTTATACCTAGTACCAGTCAGCTGTGCCCTGGAGAGCATAAATACACTGTGGGAATTTACTTCTCTAGATTGGAGGGTCAGTTAAGAGGGGTCAATGTAAGTTAGGCAGAATTCCCAAAGGGTGTTTACTACAGTTATACATTTTGAATTTTTACAGTTGTTTAATGTATTGGTTGAAAGATAGACTACATTAAATTTAGAGAAGTTACAGGGAAATTGTGCAGAAATTTCCCCCCAGTAAGCTGTAGAGTGTGTTTAAATTGAACTTTAATAAAACTGGTTACCATTCTGGGAATATGGGTTATACGGACTGAGAGGAGACGAGAGTGCTAGGGTGCTGGAAATGTTCTAGATCCTGATCTGGGTAGTTTAGTGATTATACAGGTTTATGCCTGTGTCAGAATTCATCAAGATGTGGGGCGCCTGGGTGGCTCAGTCGGCTAAGTGTCCGACTCTTGATTTCAGCTCAGGTCATGGTCTCTGGGTTGTAAGATCGAGCCCTGCTTTGGGCTCCGCGCTCAGCAGGGGAGTCTGTTTGAGATTCTCTCTCTGCCCACCCCCCACTCCGCATTGTCTCTTTCTCTCTCTAAAATAAATAAATCTTAAAAAAAAAAAAATTCGTCAGGATGTGTATACTTGATGTGTGAAAGCAGTATCTCAATTAAAAAGCTAGGTACAGGGGCTCCTGGGTGGCTCAGTTAAGTGGCTGCCTTCAGCTCAGGTCGTGATCTCCGGGTCCTGGATCAAGCTCCACATCGGGCTCCCTGTTCAGTGGGGAGTCTGCTTCTCCCTCTCTCCCTCTGCCTGCCACTCCCCCTGCTCCCCCCACCCAAATAAATAAAATCTTAAAAAAAAAAATGGCACAACTGACTTGTTTGGTTTATCTGCCTTTCCTGTCATCTAGATGCCCATACATCGTCGGACATCAGTTAAGTTCTCTTTCATTTTAGATAGATAAATTTTTGATAGGTGTTCATCTCTCACATAATTTTGAGTGTTTCAGAAATGTAGATATCATGAGATTTTTAATACATGATATTAAAAAAGTAATGCTTGGTTTACTTTTTTCTGATTTAGGAGCTGTGACTGATGAGAATTAAAGGCCATGGATGAAGATGGACTTCAATTACAACCACAAGAGCCAAACTCATTTTTTGATGCAACAGGTATAACTTGGGTCGTTCTGCTTCCCAACTACCAAATCTGGAGTTAGCTATCAAGTGGATGAATTGCTAGACTCTGACATTGATACTCACACTTAGGTATCTTTTTATCCTGTCACACCTACGTTTGTTAAAATGAGCACATTATTATTCCTGTCCTTAAAAATGTGTTTCCCTCACAGCCAGTATTCATGTTCTTCTCCATAACAGCAGCGGTATCAAAACACCAGTGCTTTCTTCAGTTATTCGCATCTTGCCCAGTTACGGTGCTAAGTCCGGTTACTTCTCCCTTTGAAAATGTTCCTTGCTTACATCTCTCTTCATTCTACTTCCTCCCGCATAGACCTTCTCTTTCGTCTCATTCTTAGTCTGCAGTAACTTTTAAATTCTTTTCCTTACCCTTAGTCTCTTTTGTCCAGCCCACCAATTAGAATACATCAAAAAATAACATGTAGATTGTGTCATTTGTCTGTTTTCCATTACCCAGCAGGTAAAGTATAAGCCTCAGGCCCTCCACCTTCTGACCCCATCCTACTTTTATAATGCTGTCTCTCACAAGGTGACAAAAGGAGCCCTCTGCTTCAGGAAGACAGAGTCTTATCTCACTCTCCAAACTACAAGGACTATTAAATTCATGAAATTCTAAAAATAGAAAAAAGTATTCACAATTTCACATTACCTGTGATTCCAGTTGTGTAGCATTGTAAAGTGATTATGCTAGGTTTTATAATGTAAAATGGTTTTTTATCACACTAGCTAGCTACCCTTATAAATAAAACGACTAGTTTTCCATTGGACTTGAAATGATCATGTTGCAGTATATTAAAGAAATAGTGATTAACTTTATCAGGAAATTAAATATTAATGATTTTAAATTTTAACTTTTCCTTCAATCTCTTAATCCAGTGGGGGTATATGTATTTTACTTAACTTGGAATAGTCTTTTAATTTACATTCGGTAACTTCAGTTTGATAATGATAAATGCAAAGGTATAATTCTCTCTTCATTAGAACATGAAGTATAATTGATGTGCTTGAAAAAGAGACTAAGCTCTTTGGAGAAAAACACACACTATTTAGTAGCTTAATCTTGCCACAAGTGAGCCTGGGTCATGGACTAAGTGGTGGATTGAAGGGCTGTTGCATTTTAGCCCTGATGTTAACACTTATGGTGTTTGTTTATCTTTGAGCAAGTCACTTAATCTGTCAGGGCCTCCGTTTTCATGTCCTAATAATAATGAAACCTCTCATTACAGTTTTTCAGAACACTTCCCATACATTCCCATTTGATCATCACAACAGTCCTGTGAGGTATGCATGGCAGATACTACTGTCCTCATTTTACTGATGAGGAAACCGAAACTCAGAGGTTAAATGACTTGCCCAAGGTCACAAAACGAATAAGTGTCCAAACTGTACTCTCTGATTTAGATTTTATAACCAGTCTTCTTGCTACCAGATGCTTTCATCTTCATGTCTGCAAAATGGAGATTACGGTGATCTGTTGCTGATGTTAATATTGAGAATATGGAAAATAAATGAGTATAAAGCATTTTGTAGAAGTCCTATAGAAATTAAAGCAAACATACTCTTTATTATTTCTAGATGTAATTAAAATGGATATTAACTGGCTGTAAGATTTCCTACATTTTTTAATGATATTTTTGGCCCTTGTTGGTCATTTGTGTTTGTTAAGCAAAGCCATATGTCTCTGAGGACCTGGCCAGTGACACACAGTCGTTGAGTTAGGCAGCTGCTTGGACTCAGCCTGGTTTGAGTCACATCCAGAAGCACTCATCAACAGAATAGCATTTTAGGTTAAGACTTTTATAAAACTTTGCTTTTCTCTAGACCAGGATCCAAGATACTGGATTTGTTTTCTTTTATCCTATGTTTTTGGCAAGGATATTTGATTTTGATTCCCATTTGTGGCATTCATTCAGATTAATATTTATGGAGCACCATAATCTGTGCAAACTGTGTGATCTTGGTGAAGTCATTTAATCTCAACGGGGCTTCAACTGATTCAACCTTCTACCTTTATTCCTTAATTGCAGAGTGGACTAGAGTAAGGGTCTTATATTCTGAGAAGCTGCCTGGGGGATTGGGATATGGGGGGACAGGAGGAGGCTGGCTGGAGACGGAATACCCTGGTGAAGTTGCGGCAGGCCCCATTCCAACTAACCTTGGCCTCCACCACTCCAGAGCAGCTGCACTTTTATGCATCTCATCTATCCACAGAGACTCCCTAGCCAGTTGTCTTTTCTCCGTAACTGTGGCCTTCTAGCCCTCTTTTCATTTATGCCGCGATCCTTTTATATCCTAGATTCAGAGGATAATTTCTAAATTTCTGTAGTCATAAATGGAGGATATTGGTGAGATATTGTTCTAGAACAAAGGGGGAGAAAGGGGTAAAGATGGAAGGGGTAAAAATAGAAGAGATATATGGGAGAGGTGGAAAGAAGAAAAAATAAGAATTGAGGAGAAAGAGATGGAACAAGAAGGAAAAAGGAATGAAAACACATATAATGAAGGAAAATGGTGTATTTGTCACCTGAACTGGCATTACTTATTTTATAATCATCCCTTAAGTACCTTTGCATATGGGATTAACTTCAGTGAGCCTAGAATTTTACTTTCATGAGTGTGTGTGTGTGTGTGTGTGTGTGTGAGAGAGAGAGAGAGAGAGAGAGAGAGAGAGAGAGACTGGCTCAATTGCCTTGGTTTTCTGTATTTCCATATCACTTGATTTGGGATGAGAATAAAAGTTCTTGTATTAAAAAGTTCTGTTTCTGATATTCAAAAATAGTTTCCCTCTTTAATCTGTGTTAGTGTTTGAGAAAACTGAGGAGCTAGTCTGTTTTACTGGTAGGAATTAAATAACATTTACATTATTTGAGGTAGTCATGCACACCTACCTGAAATTTGTGATTTTAATTTTTTTTTTTAAGGAGCTGATGCTACACACATGGACGGTGATCAAATTGTTGTGGAAGTACAAGAAACTGTTTTTGTTTCAGATGTTGTGGATTCAGACATAACTGTGCATAACTTTGTTCCTGATGACCCAGACTCAGTTGTAATCCAGGATGTTATTGAGGATGTTGTTATAGAAGATGTTCAGTGCCCCGATATCTTGGAAGAAGCAGATGTATCTGAAACGGTCATCATTCCTGAGCAAGTTCTGGACTCAGATGTAACTGAAGAAGTTTCTTTAGCACATTGCACAGTCCCAGATGATGTTTTAGCTTCCGACATTACTTCAGCCTCAATGTCTATGCCAGAACACGTCTTGACGAGTGAATCCATACATGTATCTGATGTTGGACATGTTGAACACGTGGTTCATGACAGTGTAGTAGAAGCAGAAATCGTCACCGACCCTCTGACAACGGACGTCGTTTCAGAAGAAGTATTGGTAGCAGATTGTGCCTCTGAAGCAGTCATAGATGCCAATGGGATCCCCGTGGACCAGCAAGATGATGACAAAAGCAACTGTGAGGACTACCTTATGATTTCCTGTAAGTCTTGGGGTACCGTGATTGTCAGAGGTATTTTTGAAGGCTGTCTTTCCTAACTTACATCAGGGGTGAAATTTTCTTGACTTCTATAAAATTAAGGTAAATCTCGTAGACCTGCCTGCATTATTGTTTCAGTTTGGAGCCTGTAAGTTAACTCAAAATTAAGAAAAGTGAAATGGTGCAGAGTAAAGAGTCATTTCTCTATAAGGACACAATAGAAAGATGAGATTTCTTCAATCTAGAAAGACAAAGACGAAAAGGAGTAGGACTGAACTTTTGAAATCATGAAGGATGTGATTAGGCTGTTACGAGCCTTTATTAGAATTAGGAATCCTCTTGAAACTAAAAAGGAGTTCAACTTGGAAAAAAAATGTATAACCGAACTACTTATATTCTTGTATATGGATGTACGGTGCTACTTATGTACTACTTATGTACTTACTCTGCTTACATGTAAAATGCTGTTTATATAACAGATAGCATGGAAAAGAGCTCTGGCATAGTATTGAAAGTTTAAATGATTCCAGAACATGATTTTCAAGTATGATGGACTCATAGTAGGTTATTGAAGAAAAGTAAGGTGTTTTGGAACACACTTGAACATTTTTAACTTAACGTCTGGAAGGATAGCTGTTATCTTCTTACAACCTATTTCTTGGTACCACTTTCAGAGATAAAATCCTCAATTGGATAGACCCCGGTTCTGACCCAGTATGGGGATTCTTGTACCTTTAGGAACTAAACTTTAAACAAAGACTCACAGACTATTTGCTTATATAAATTCACAAGACTATTTGCTTTGCTTGAAAACCTGTTATAATAGAGGAATTTCACATAGCATATATTGGAGTCCACCAGCATTTTAGGAAATACCTTTTAAAAGTTCCAGATTTTGGAAATCTGAGAATTCTTTGTGTGAAGAGGAAGAAAATGCCTTCATTCAGCACATGTGTTTGGGCTCCCTACTCTGTGTTAGACCTTGTTGTAAGTAGTGCAGATATGGATAGGTGATAAATAAAAAAATACATAAAACCATTGTCTTTAGAGAGCTTACGGTCTACTGCAGGAGAGAAAGAGAGGTTGCACTGTGATGCAGAGGCGGGACCAAGTTGCTGTGGAGACAAGATGGAGTTGCTGACCTTTGAACTCAAGGATGAGTTCTAGTTTTACCAGGTGAAGAAGGGCATGAGTTGGGAGGGAGACATTCCAGGCAAATTGTATAGTATGTTAAAAAAAAAAAAAAAAAAGTCTGGCCTTTGCTGGGAATGATGGTAACTTTAGGATGTACTTGTATATCTTTGTGTACTTCCTGGTTAATTCATTAGAACAAATTTCTTGAAATAGAATTGCTAGATCAGAGGGTGTACACATTTATAAGTCTGGTGATATTGCCTCGATATTTTGCCTAATAATAACTCCCCCGACCAGGTTTATGAGAAGGTCCATTTCCCTGCACAGCTAACCAACGAGGGTATTATTTTCCTTTTTAGTTTTCGCCAGTCTCACAGGGGAAAATATGATAGCCATTTGAAGTTTGAATTTATTTTAGCAAGATAATTTTGGTAGTGATACAGAATAAGAGTAGATGAGGGAGAGACTAGTGGTAGAGGTTAGTTGAAATGGTTCATTCATGAGATAAGGAAGATCCTAAGTACTTTCATAGGAATGGGGACAGAAAGAGGGAACTAGATTCAAGAGAGTTTAGGAAGTAAAATGAATGAGATTTGGTGACAGAATAGGGTGGGGATCTGAGGGAGAAAGAGAATTCATGGAGGACCCTAAGGTTTCTACCTTGGGGGATTGGGTGCCTGGTCATGCTATTACCTGAGAGGTGGAGATTTGGTGCAAAGAACATGATTTAGGACCTGTTAGAAGTTTGAGTTGCTTGCTGGGGACAATCTGATGGATGTTTTTTCTAGACAGGTGATAATATGAATTCGGCACTTTTGAGAGAGTTTGTGGCTAGAGGAAGAAATTTGGGACAACAAAATATAGATAGTATCCTATGTGGAAATGGGTGGTGGTTCCTCAGAGAGTACTTGTAGAATAATGAGTATGGATCCTTTAGATATTTAAGAAGTACACAGAGGAGGGCGCCTGGGTGGCTCAGTTGGTTAAGCGACTGCCTTCGGCTCAGGTCATGATCCTGGAGTCCCGGGATCGAGTCCCGCATCGGGCTCCCTGCCCAGTGGGGAGTCTGCTTCTCCCTCTGACCCTAACCCCTCTCATGTGCTCTCTCTCATTCTCTCTCTCTCAAATAAAATCTCTTAAAAAAAAAAAAAAAAGTACGTGGAGAAGAGCCCATGAAAATCAGGAGGTTTTGGGAAGCGGAGGAGAAAGAATTTCTAGAAGTGTCATCACTGAAAAGAGAGAATGGAGCTGTTCCATCAAGCAATTAGGAGGTCATTTGTATCTTAATTAAAATAGTTTCAATAAAGCAAGGGCCAATGGAGAGGAGATAGAAGAGATGAACCATTATGGATTGAGAAGTAGGTGGAAGTGAAGTAGGTGAAGCAATTTGTATAAATGGCCATTTTGGTCAGGGAAGGGACAAAAGAGCCAGGAGTATAGCTTTGATGTTTGGCTGGATGGTGAAAATGTGTTGAGCATACTTATAGCCTTATAGGTGCAGGACACAAACCATTGGATAGAGAGACTAAAGATAAGGGAAGGGTTACCAGATGGAGCAGTTCCAGAGAAGGGGGAGGGAATGAGGTCCAGGGCAGCAGTGGAGGGCTGTTGGGTGAGGCCTAGAGAGGAAGAGTGAGTACCTTCTCTGAGACAGAGGCAGTAAAAGGAGCTTTAGAATATTGGGAGCAGGCGCCTGGCTGGCTTAGTTGGTAAAGCATGTAACTCTTAATCTCAGGGTTGTGAGTTTGAGCTCCACAGTTGGTATAGAGATTACTTAAAAATAAAATCTTTAAAAATAAATAAATAAAGGGACACCTGGGTGGCTCAGTCAGTTAGGCGTCTACCTTCTGCTCAGGTCATGATCCCAGGGTCCTGGGACTGAGTCCTGCGTCGGACTCTTTGTTCAGGGGGGAGCCTGGTTCTCCCTCTGCCTGCCACTCTCCCTGCTTCTGCTCCCTCTCTCTCTCTGACAAATACATAAAATATTTAAAAAAATAATAAAAATTAAAAAAAAAAAGAATGTTGAGAGCTATTTTCTTTGTGCAGCAAATTCCTCTGCCAATATAGGATGTATAGAGGTTGTGGGTGGAAAGCTGAAGAATAGAGGTAAAGAGTTGAAAAACCTTAGTATTAAAGGGAGGGACCAGGGCAGGAAGCTTAAGAATTTACAGGATGGATTATTTAGCTGCATTGAGGAGCCAGCTGAGATTGGGAGTCTTCAGTTTGTATGTCAGATGTGCCGTTCAGTATGAAAATACCATTTTGAAATACCACTGCCAGATTTTCTTTTGCAGGACCAGGCAACCCAGAGGCAAGGCTGGAGAAAGTAAGGAGTTGGGTTCATCGTGCTTTATGAGGGCAAGAGGATCTGGTGAAATATTTAGGCGAAAGCACTCTTGGTTCTCCTTGACTTATCTTTTCACTTAAACTTGTTTGCTAAGGAGTAAAATGCATAGCGTTGGTTTGACCTTTAGCTGCATACTATCTCTTTCCTTTATTATTCTTTTAGGAAGTTCAGCCCTCCAAGAATGTCATAAAAAAAACCAAAACAGTAAAAGTTGATTTAGTAACGGTTGACATGGTATACTAGATTTTTTTTTTAAGATTTTATTTATTGAGAGAGAGCACACACATGAGCAGGGGTAGGGGTAGAGGGAGAAGCAGACTCCCTGCTGAGCAGGGAGCTGGACACAGGGCTCATCCCAGGACCCTGGGATCACGACCTGAGCCACCCAGAGACCCCCCCCCAGTATACTAAATTTTTACATTGTATTAGAGTCCAGACTTGTAAAATTTTCATTCAAAATCTTATAGTCATCTTTCTTTTGGCTCTGGGTTTCTGCTAATTTATATAGATTTTAATGTTCCTAAAGTAGTAAATAAGGATGGACACAAACTGCTATTGTGTATTTTTGTATATTTTATATATGTATATAAGTATGTATTTTAACAATACAGTGATAGTTTATTCCTTTTTTTATTTTTTATTTTTTTTAAGTCGTCCTTTTTTTTTTTTTTAAAGATTCATTTTAGAGAAAGAGAGTGTGCGAGTGGTGGGTGGGCAGAGGGAGAGAGAGAATCCTGAAGCAGACTGCCCTATGAGCATGGAGCCTGATGGGGGCTCGATCCCAGGACCCTGAGATAATGACCTGAGCTGAAATCAAGAGTTGGTCACTTAACCGACTGAGTCACCCAGGGGCCCCTCTTCCTTCCTTTTAAAATAGAATGTCACATCCAAGCTCAAAGAATACAAAGAACACACACACACAAGTTACCTAATACCCCTTTTTTACTATAATGAGATGGTTTGATTGCTTTTATTTTATTTTTTTTTTATTTTTTAAAGCTTTATTTATTTATTTTTGAGAGAGAGAGAGAGGGAGAAAAAGAGAAAGCGTGAGTGGAGGGGCAGAGGGAGAGAAGATCCCAAGCAGACTCCATGCCAAGCACGGAGCCCGACATGGGGCTTGATCTCACGACCTTGAGATAATGACCTGAGCTGAAACCAAGAGTCCGGTTCTTAGCCGGCTGCACCATCCAGGCACCCCTGATTGCTTTTAAGTTGGGTTTAGGGATGGTGACTTTTTGGGGGGAGTATGGTGACTTTTGGTAGTATCTATTGTTCTTTTGCAGGTACTTGTTCATTCATTTTTCCTCCATTCCACACCATCATCCCTTTTCCTTTCAAAGTATAGTCATGTTAAAAAATTTAATTTACTACTGGCTTTGGAATCAAACCAATTGAATGCTTTGGAATTAATTAGCATTTCTCTTGTTTCTGCCTCCCAGTGCTGCATTTCAACTTAAAACCTAAATTGATTTCAGAAGTTTAGGATTGACAAAGGCTTTGTGGTAAGCATATAGAGGAA